GTGTAACCATTGAAAGGCCACTGATAATTTTGATTTACATAGTACCCCAATGTAGAGATTTTAAATACTATATGAAAATCTTATCGTAGATTAACTTTAAGGAAAACAATAATATGGATCTTTATATCACTAAAACTCTGAAATACTGTGTATAATCAATTTCTAAATAAAAAATGTTGAGTAATTAATTAATAATTTACTCGTATTTTATAATTAAGAGCTAAATCAAAGTTTTCACTCTCTAGTTATAACTTTAAATGTACTAATTTAAAAAATTTTAAGTTTCTATTATATTATTGTTACTTTAAAAACATAGTATTATTATAACTAAATATACTAGTAAAATAATTTCACGGTTATTGGTAAAATCGGCGTTAAATTGTTGAAATTCAATGAAATTTATTTTTCACAATGGGGTGTTTCAAAGTTAATCACTATACACTGATTTTGCTATATAAGGAGCTTCAGAATTAAATTTTTTGAAAATAAGCAAGAGTTTGATAATTCTTACTTGCGTTCCTAGCTTTTAAAGTCAGAAAATGAAATAGAAATTCTATTTTAAAATTTATAAATTTTTCGTTTGAAAGCCATCATAAAATAGAATTTAAATATCAATTGTTTTGAGGATAAATAGATTGTCTATTTTATTCAAAATCAGAAGCCTAGCTATTAATTCTGGAATTCTACTAGGAGAAACATAAAAATTTAGCTTTTTGCCTTTTTCTTTTTTTTTTAAAAAAAAATTATACAACATGAACCAATCCACGGCTCAAATTATTAACGCTCAACTTCGAAGCAATAACGTCCAGTTGCAAAGGCTTCAGAACATTGGTGGTTCACGAAATAGTAATGGTCGCCAGCCTCTAAGGCCTCAGAGCCTATTCAACAATACTTCCATTGCCGTTCAATATTACACAGCTTTAATTGAAGGCACAGAATTCACTGAAACGCAAGGCACAGAAAATCCTCCACAACAGAGCACCCAATCTTTAACGTATCTGATCTTTGGGCTTTCCTTTCCATAAATATACTTATGAATAAATCTGTATTTTGAAGTTTACACTTTTTATGAAAATTAATCACTATTTGTTTCATTATAAGTTTTTATGTTCTAGCTATATTTAGAATAATTATATATGTCTTATTTAACTAAATTTTTCGGACAAAAGAAACTAAACAATTACTGTTGAATCTCCAAAATCGACATGTAAGGCGGCAAGTTTTATATAAAATTGAAATATTATTATATTTAAAAACACTCATAAGATGTCGGGTATAGCAGGATCGGTCTTGAGATTCAACAGTGATTTTATATTCATAAGGCAAACAAAAGAGTGGCAAAAATTTTAAACTTTATAAGCATGTATGGTATAATATTTTTGATAAGGAATAAGATATTCAAATAAAGATTACTAATTAAGCCTCACTAAACCTTAAGCTCTGTTCATATTTTATTTTTACTTTTTTATTTTTGTTCTTTAACTGTTTATTGAGATTCGACCTGCACAATTGCCGGAGTATATTATTATTAAAATACCACAGAAGGAGAAGACTAAAAGCCAGATCAATTAGCTTTAGTGGTAGGATTGATTGTTGGGTAATTTTGTAGTGTACCTGTTTTAATCGACACTCAAAAAGAAGCTAATGATTTCCGACCTAACAAATTTTGAAGATAATGAGTTTAAAATATCATATTTATTTTCTAATATCAATTAGGCATATCTGACAATAAAATTAACTTTTGTTGATAAGCATTCACCAGTAAGCGATTATGTTAACAATTATATACTTTTAAAAATAGGATTTATATTCTCACATCTAACCCTAATCTGAAAAGGCTACCCTAACATAAATAAACTTTAAGGAATTTTGGGAAATATGTCTCCTACGGGAACCGGAGATGATTATAATTTTCATTTCTTAAATTCGTAATTTTTTTTTTCAACATGGTCAAAAAAAATGAGTCAGATGGGTCAAGAATAATGTTTTTACTTTATGATCTAAAAAAAACAAAAAAAAATTGAAACAATTTAAATTAAACTTTATAATTCTCAACTAATACCCCAAATGGGCCAGGCCGGATATCGAGTTGACACGAAATTTACTAAGAAAATTTATTCACTTTTTCTGATCGAAAAAGTTACTAAGAAAACTTGTTCGCTTTTTCGGTTCGGGTTATATGCAAACCAAATCCAATTTGAACTTTGGATCAACCGACCCGATTGGAGCAACAGGAGCGACCGTTCAAATTCGTAGATGATTCCAAACAATTACACAAGATTGTCAACCAATCATATCTCAGGTTTTAGCAAATCGGCCAATCAGACTACAAAAAAAAGGTTGCGGGATTCACGGGGATTCAAAGAATATGTTATAGAACGAAGCAAAAATATTAATTCATCCGTTAAATTTATTCTCGTTTCATAGAAAATTAAGA